TCCAGAAATGCAGGGTTTGTTGTTCTGGTTCCGGAGTTCACTGTATTTTGTCACTACAAACAAATATACACATATAAATACTATGTCTGAGTTTGAAAAAGTTCACATGCCTCTTTCCTTTCAACCACAATCATCATGTGATCCCTCTCTGCTACCCAAAAGAATACCATCATTACTATGCTTGACTCTGCTCATTCTGCTCATTCTATTGCCACATCCACTGGTTTTCATACCTCTACCATCTCTAGGCTTCATGCCAAAGAGTGCTCAGAGCTGCAGAAGTCCACTGGAGGTTGTCCATCCAAGCTTTCCCCTGCTAATGTCCGTCATGCCATCCACCTCATCTCTACTCACAAGGCAGAGAATGCTGTCCAGATCACCAAAACCCTTACCAATATTATTAATCAACCCCTCCACCCTAATACTGTCTGCCAGGCCTTGAAAAAGACTGGTTGAAAGGCTGTAGTCAAGTGAAAATGCCCCCTTCTCTCTGCCAAACATTGCAAGGCCCAGTTGGACTATGCCTATGCTCACAAGGACTGGACTGTGGAGGATTAGAAGAAGGTAGCATGGTCTGATGAGACTAAAATCAATCACCTAGGGTCAGATGGACGCAAATGGGTGTGGAAAAGCCAGGAGAGGGGCTCAGTGACAGGCTAGCAAAGGGAACAGTGAAGTTTGGAGGAGGTTCTTTGATGATGTGGGGCTGTATGACTTGGCAGGGAGTTGGATATGCTGCCAAGGTTGATGGTAGGATGGATGGTGACCTTTACCTTCAAATTTTAAAGCATGAACTTCATGATTCCCTGAGGTATTAAGGTCTAAATCCTTCTGACATCATCTTTCAGCAGGACAATGACCCCAAGCACACATGCAGGAAGGTCAAGGAGTGGCTAGAGGAGCAGGATTTTAGGACCATGGTATGGCCTGCACAGTCTCCAGACCTTAACCCCATAGAACATAACATACCTGGGGTTGCCTCAAAAGAAAGCTTGCAGAGTATGAACACCCTACTAAAGGAATAGAGGAATTGTGGGAGAGAGTTTAGGTGGAGTGGAAGAGTATTTTAGCAGCAGAGTGCTAGAAGTTGATTGAAAGCATGCATAGAAGGGTTGAGGCAGTGATTAAGGCCAAGGGAGGCTATACCAAGTACTAATATCCTAATTTATCACAAAGCACATAAACTGTTGCAATGGTGTTACTGTTTTATAATTGGCATATCTCCACAGCCCCTGAAGTAAATCACATGACCAATTTATAGCCAGGAGTGACAAAGATAGGCCTCATGCACAACCAGCAAGCACATTGTGTGATAGGTGTGTGACACTTGGTTAGATGGTGGAAATCATAGCCATTTTTGGCTCATGGCGGTGGCACACCAGCAGAAGGCTGAGCAACAGCAATATCAAGTTTACAACAAGCTGGATTTAAGTAGATATAACAATATAACATCTGCCGGTCAAGTAGTAAGGCCCTCTTTTGACCTTGCTATATCAAGATTAGCCATAAGTGTAGAGGGAAGAACTCGGTGACCCCGATACTTTCTTGCTGCCCATACAGCCTGTGCTCCATTTAGGCCCTTATGGTATGCATCAATAAAACACCTTGATCTAATTGCAAATCTGAGACAATGTGAGCATATTTCAAAGTTGTACAGTGTCCACCTACCTTTGCATTGTCATTAACGGAACAGCATCAAGAGCACTGATGATGTTTCGCTCCAGATCAGCTTCTTTGGATGAAGTGGGATAGCATCAGTAGAGTCGCTTTGCATAGCCCCAGCATTGTTCAATGAAATTGAGTTCACAGTGGAACTTCAGAAGGAACAAATCCTCTTTTTCAGCACACCTCCTCAAGCAGGGATTCCACATTGACGAAGTCAGGTTGGTTGTAGAGGATGCATTGGCAGCAGCAATCTGTGGCATCTGGAGCACAGTCAAAGTTTTTCCCACACTGTGCCTTGAGCCCTGACACGGTAAAGCCATGCTCTTTGAGAACTTTAGCCATCCCCTTGAATAGACCTGCACTTGGGTCATCTGGTGGGTAATAAAAGTTTTGTGGAAAACCATCTGCAAGTGTCCCATTTTTCATGGGTACTTTCTCCTTTGCAAGCTTTCCATCTGCACTATAGACTGCCTTCCCCTCTGTGTCCTTCTTGTTTCTCTCAACTCCCCATGCACGGCATGATTTTGGCATGTTACAGGCTGACAAGGCATCATCTACACATTTTAGGTGGGTTGTTGCATTGTCAAAGATGAAGATGTGGTCCTTGTTGGCATAGTCCTTCTCCAAGATTACCATAGCCTTCTTGGCATGTGCAATGATCTCGTCATTGGTAAAGTAGCCATCTCTTCCTTTCCCAGCCCTGAATAGCACCCTTGCTGAGTCATTTCCATTGTGTGAATGCAGCCACCCATAGTCAGCAACCATTAGGGATGCACCTTCCCCTTTTTGTTGCTGGACTGCCATTTTCTCCTTCAGAACCCAGCGCATCTTGTGGCAATTGTGGGCATAGAAGGTGGATTTGTTGTGGTGCCAAACAACAGTACGTCATCCTTCTTCTCCTTCCTGCCCACCCTCTTGCACATCTGGGTTCACTGAGGATCATTTCCTCATCTTTGGATCAAGTTTATACCACTCTGGGATGAAGGGATTCTGGCGATAGAACACAACATCATCTTGCTCATGCCCATCAATATATTGGCCTTTGGGGTCCTTTTCCCATCAATAACCAACATGTTTCATCCAGTGTTGTGCTGTGGCAAGCAAGACTGTCTTCATAAGCTGATAGCATGCCTGGACGTCTGAACAGGCAAGGAAAGTCACAATTGCTAATGCTGTGACATATTCCCAGCGTTTGGAGATGGAGAAGGAGCTCTTGCTTCAAGTCCTCATCATCAATGCGAGACTTGGTCCATGCTCCTCCATGCCTGATTGCTGGGAGGTTCTTGTGGTCCGCAATGTATGCTTTGGACCATTCTCACACTTTGCAAGACATATATGGTCCTTTGCCAACAAATTGCACAGTTTGCAGTGCAGCCAAAGACCATGACAAGACTGCATCCACATCAACTGCTTTTCCAGGGCTGCAGTGAGTCCCATATTTTTAAACCCACACACTTTGCTATGAGGAGGGTGAAGTAATGTGTTGATATCCTTCATTGCCAGTCTCGCATCTTCCACAGATGGTGGTCTATGAAAGTTGGCAGAATGATACAGTGTGGGGAGTATGGGAATGGGTGTGGCAGTGCTAGCAGCTTTGTGTGCATTGACATCGCGGGAAAGTGGTTTATCTTCAACTTGTGCTTCGTGAGATGTGGAAGGTGCGTTGTTTGGCAGTACTGAGCCATCACGGCTACGATTGACATGAATGACAGCCTGTGCATGTGCTTCAAAGCCCTCAAAACCTTCGCTTGGCTCATAGATGGAGGATCCACTGTGACCAGGCCATGGACTTCTAGAATGACTCAGAGGACCATCATCCTTGTCACTGGAGTCTGAGTCTGAGCTATCCATCCCCAAAAGACCATCATACCTGGGCCCCTCCATATCAATATTGGCAAGACCAGGATCATGTGTATGTGATGAAAACAATGTGGAATTCATGGGGGGAATTGAGGTTTTGTCACAACATGGCTGCAAGGTGCCAGTGGTACTATATAGCCCACTCAAGCTCAGGTTGTGCTTGGGTTGCTTGTAAGTTCCCGAAACCTCAGCTGTATGGTTGTTACTCACATTCTCCTTGTCTAACTCTTTTATGGTCAACCCTTTGGCTTTTTTAGCCCATCTCCTGAGGTTTTGGAGGGCAGAGCATGCAGAATGTACATGTTTGGGCATTTCCATGGTCATGGCGTGTCAGGAATGCACTGCCACCAATGCGCCATTTATTGGTGCTCACCAAGGGCTTTGATATTTGTTCATTCCTCACATTTCACTCGGCATCCCATCCTTCACTGTTTATGGACCTGTTTTGAATATTTAAAACCAAGGAACTGTAGGGGTAGTCTGTCTTTACAATGCCTCTGTTTTTTGTGTAATGTCAATGTGTATTGATTCTTTGCAATTTTACTCAATTGTCATGCATTATCATGCTCAGCCACAGGGCATTTGCTGGTTGTGCATGAGGCCTATCTTGCTACAATGCACATCACCAGAGCTAAGTGCGCTTCTCACACCCTTTTGTGATATGCCTTGCACATCGCATTTGGGCCAAACATTGCAACAGTTTATGGAGTCACTGTATATACATTTTGCTTATAGTACTGGTTATGTCTGTGTTTTCTTTGGTTGATGGTTTGGGGTCTTTACTTATGACAATATTATGGTACTGCTCAGACTTGTCTTTCTTCTCTAGATTATAGCCGAAAAGAAGCTCCAGTGGTAACAGCCAACACAACACTCCTCTACTTTAGTGACTACTTACTAGAGTATTCTACAGCACCCACTGATGTTCTATTTTCAAATGATGTTGCAAAACCTCCAACCACAGCACCCACTACCCTTGCATGGTCACATTCTACTCACCAGTGGCTTTTATTTGTTACTTTGCTCTGTCTCCAATCATCCATGTCCCAAGACAATCACTGTTTGCTATTTTCCCTCCATCCTCTGGTACCCTTTACAAGAAAATTGGTGAAAAGCACCATAGTTGAGTCAGAGAATGAATAATAGGACTCTGTACAACTCGGTTATGGTGTAGCGGCTAACATGGCTGTCTTTCATGATCATGTAGTTATGAGCACAGCAGCTCCGGGTTCGACTCCCGGTAACCGAACTTTTTCTTCATCTTTATTCCTGGACTGACTAGTGACCAGCGAAGCGCCCAAAACGCGTCAGAGGAACGGCAGAAGTTGACTGTGAAATGGAGGCCTTATATGTGGTAATGTCTTTCGATGTACAAGTTAACAGTCCCAGTCAGTTGTGACATTGGATGTTGATTCCACGCAAGCGCTTTACAACGGCTAGTCATCATATATTGAACAGAGTGGTGACTCGTAAGCCTCATAAATTCCAACTGGTGAGGTAACAAACAACTGGCTAGACCACAAACAAAGGCAACGGTTATTCACCCTGAAGGGGTGAGAGGGACGACAGTGTTCCTATCTGGCTGACGGACTCCAACAAACCTCTCCAGACCTCAACACCGTCCCAATCCACTGCGTCCCACAACATACCTGCCCGCTTGAGCACTTTTCTGATTTTTTTTGTCGGTACTCGAGTGAGCGACACCGGGGCACGTGATAGCGCCCTATTGATGAGCTGTGGGTCGCGTCGCTCGAGGGCAAGAATAATGAGGGGGGGTTTCGGTGGCGTCGAAGTCTGTGTTTGGCAGCCAGACAAGCACAATGCAGATAGGGCGCGCACAGTGCGAAAAAATGGATCGGTAAGTGATGCATCATAAAGGGTATCGCTTGATATAATGAGATCAAAGGGTGGAACAAGTAAATCTTTCGTTGTGCCACCTTTGATTAGAGGATCCCCATCGGGAGTAATTCGCGTTGGGTCATTCCACTGCCACCTATCGCTGTCAATATTCCAGTCCAATACACGAACTTGGATCGATCCGGCGTTAGTTGGGAGATGCTGCAGGTTCGCGGCAATGTTGCGCCTCAGTACGGAATCACATACATGGGTGGTGTCAGTGGCAAGGACGTCGTATCCAAGCGAGGATAGCACAAGGCTATTTCCGTGATGAGGAGTGATCGATTCCAATTGTATCACATGCAATGAATGGTGACGCCATTGGGTTGATTTTTCGGTATGAATGGAGATTAGTACGGAGCACAAGGCAGAATTAACGCAGTCCGTAGGAGCGACCACAAGGGATATGTCAGAGAGGAGGCAAATTGAGCCAGAGTAATGTTGGGGGGAGAGCAAAGGGACACACACGCCGTGAGGCCTATCCCGCTGCCGAGCTCCACGGCCCGCGGACGTCTTTGCTCACCAACTGGCACACGTACACGGGAACCTTTCGGTTCATTGGCTAGGTACGCAGAGAGTACCTGTCCTCCGAGCCAAAGTGCAGTACCGTTGCTGATACCGTCGTCCTTTTGGTTGAGGTGGAATGTATGACCATTGAAGGTGTGCGTAAGAGTAGGCAAATGTTTTGTGTGATGCGCAGGGAGAGGTCGTCCATGAATTGCGTCAGACATGAAAGAAAGCTGGGGATGTATTCTATGTAGAAGACACGCAGCAGCACGCTGATGGGAGTGACGGAGAACAAGAAGGTCAGATGATAGATCTGGACTGATATGGATATTTTCTGAGCGAAGCGAGGAACACGAGGAGAACGATAAACTTGTGATAAGAGAAACACGAGCTTGCTTGGCAAGTACACGAGGAGAAGACCTTGCCAATCAAATCAAATCCGAGGGTGAAGGCAGCGAAAAAGGAATGTTTTGTGATATGTTTTTTGTTATGTTTTTATTACGAGTAGAAGTACTTTACATTACGAGAACCTTTCAGCGGCTGTGTTCGGTTGTTGTTGGGGTTTTCAGAGATGCACGCGATGGTACTGCGAGAATAATTCGGCGAAGAGACGACGGAAATTCAGCAAGAGAACTTCCAGTTGCTTACCACCGACTACAGCTGGTCAAGACTACAGCTGTACAGCTCGGATTGGCGCAGAATTGGATTCACTTGTGTTCCTTTCTTACGGATTACCCTTGGACTTTTACTTGAGTTGCCACCAGGTCGTGCCCCAATATACCATCTCTGCATCGCAGGCGCTTCCACCACGTTGTCGTCGCCGTCCTTCTCTCTCTCCTCTCCTCTGAACATCTCACATCCGTCACCGACTCGTTTCTTCATCTCTTTCTCACTACTAACACGGCCTGGAGGCCATGAAAGCCTTCCTCAATAGGTTCAACAGAGGCCTCTCAAAAGACTCCAAGGACAAGGACAAGGACAGAGAACGAGAGCGAGACAAGGATAAAGACTCTATCGTTGCCCATGACCACGACCGTAGTGACACCAATACCCTTAGCTCGTCTACAAATTCCAACACCCAGTCTCCAAACACTACCACACCCTCCCGAGAGAAGAGGGAACTCGTACAGCTTCCCCCCCTTCCGGAATGGCCGCCTCCGCATGTCTCACAGCCTCGCACGGAGAACAGGCATGACCGTCATTCCAATGCGCTTACTCTTATTCCCAGTCAGATCCAGAGGTCTGTCAGTGCCAGTACTACCGGAACAAGTGCGGGCACTCCCTGCTCCCTTGCCTCCACAAAACCCTTGCCTGATCTTACCGCTCGTCCTCTTCCTCCAATTGAGGAACCAAGTGACGCAGACAACGACAGTGGTGTGGGTCTGCCTGTGTCTGCCATCGTCCCTACCCCTGCAGATCCTACAGCCCCTGCCATCAAGTCCAGCGCTCGTAAGGCGGTTGACGGCTCCGTCGGTGTCAACGCAACCAATGCAGACATCCAGAAAAAAGTTGCATTCATCTCTCCTCCACCGACCCCATCAGGACCCTCAACCACACAGCCCCTTCCAGACACAACCATTGCCACCGGATCGCCGTCTCAAGCTGCCGGTGTTCTACTCAAAACGACCGTCTCACGTTTTCAGGCAACACATGGCAAAGACACGCGTGGCTCTGCTTCGACTGCCGCGTCATCCTCACGCACAGACGTAGGTTCCAAATCAACCACCACCACCACCACCACGAGCACCGGCGCTACCTGCACTACACTCGCGCCCACCGCAGTGCAAAGCTCTTCTGCCAAAGCAACATCAACGCGAACTGCTGCGTCGCCGTATCCTGGTTCTGTGCGCTCTGCGACACCGTATTCTCAAATGTCGAATACCAGCACGCGGATCCTCGCTGTCTCCTCGTGGAGTGAGGCTGCAGAAGAGGATCTCGTGAGTAACCTTGGTCCGCGCGAGCGGACCAGACAGGAAGTTCTGTGGGAGATCGTCGCCAGCGAAGAACGGTACGTCTCCTGTCTCCTAAATACGTAGCATGCATGTCTCATTCGTTCATTCGTCCTTCTTGCGCGACCCAGGTACGTCAACGATCTCCAGAAAATGAAAGATACCTTCATCGAGCCACTCCTCCATCCCTATGCTGCGCCACCTCCTACGTCCCCCACACCCTATGATTATGATGATTATATATCCACACCTGCCCGACTCGGCTCCCCTCAAGAGTCCATTGAGGTACTTCCCATCGCTGCCCGTTTCATGTCTCCCACAGGTTTCCGCTCCGAGGGTACGTCTGGCCTCGCCCTTGAAACTAAGTCCCTCGCGCCGACCACGCCAAACATCGATGACGAGTCGGCCGGGTCAGATATGGACGATGAGGGAGACCGGCTGCATGGTTTGCAATCTAACCGTGCAAATCTGGCAGCGAAGCACAACCATCCTCGTTCGCCGTATCGTGCAGGCTCAGCTATGGGGGGTAAGAATGGCAAGGTCAAGGAGCCGGTGCCGTTCCCTTCGCGGTCGCATGCGTCTCTGCCCCCTCCACAGCGCACGAACCAGGCTAACGCGTCTTCGCACTCACTGGGACTGCAGTCTGTTCCTGAACGTGAACGTGAACGGGATAGGGAACGGAGGGACAGTTCGAAGACGACACCGACAGTGCACAGCCGTTTGCTGCGAAAGGCTAAGCGGTCACAAACGCAGCCAGATGGTTTACTGCAAGGGGCTGTTGCGCCGCATCTCATTCCTGAGGACTTGCGAATATGTCTTGAGGTCATCGAGGGCGGCGTCCTGGATGGTCATGTCAAGCTCAGTGAGGGATTGAAGAAGCGTTATGAGGAACAATACCCACTCGTACGATCGCTTGCAGATGTATTCGTCTCTAATGTATGTTTTCCATTACTATGAAAGACTGCGCACATGTTAATTTTCTACAGTCTCATATCTTCCAAGGTTACGCAACCTACGTCCTCCACCTCGAGCGTGCGCTTGACCAGGTCGACAATGCCCTCTCCACTGCTAGCGCTGCCAAGAAGCCCAAAAACCAGGACGCTGCTGAATGGCTCAAAGTGTGCAAGGCCCTGCAGCGTCTTGAAGAGCTCGCTGCCGACAAGGGCGAAACCGGTCTTGCCATCACGCTCTCCAAGCCATTTCAGCGCTTGCTCAAGTATCCTCTCCTTTTTCAGAACCTCCTCTTCCACACCGACCCGAGTACGTTCGAATACGAAAGCACTCTCCAGATGGTCGCTGAAGTGGAGACGATCGTGCGAAGTATTGAGGACGAGAAAATCCAGAAAGAGGACCGTGATAAAACAAGGGACGTTTTTGCACGTATCGAGGGACTTGACAAGGTGAAGCAGCTAGCGATTCCAAAACCCTCCAGGTTACTCCTGGAGGAGAGGCAACTTTTTGTTGGTCGGGATGGATCAATATCAGCATCATCGCTTAAGGGATCGAGTCCGCCGTCGGTCATGGCCACCAAGAACGTCAAGGGTAAGACTTCGTTCCGGCGGCTGAGCGATGTTCTGGGGTCCGGTTCTAGTATGGGAGGGAAGAAGGACTTATGGCTGGTGGTGTTCAATGACGTTGTGCTGAGATGTCAGCGCACCGGTACTACTTCGTTACCTCTGGTGTCCAGCACGAACTCGCGCACGAATTCTTTGCCAGAGATGCAAAGCAAGTCAAAGTTCGCGACGGCTGGGCGTCGGAGCTCACACACAAAGCCGCGAAATTTGTACAAGTTTGTCAAGGCGCGTACGCCTTCTGAAGAGTGGCAATTATGTTCACTGAATTGTTCCAACAGATAGAGACGTGGGCGATCGGGGACGTAGTCCAACCGAAGGAAGGT